CTAGTAATTGATTTAAGCGCATATAGCATACGTACACATACACATATATATATTTATAATTTTAATTTAATTTCATTTGTGTTTTACGTTTCAGGCCAAGTTAAGCGCCGCCCAGCAATGCAGTTAAGGCGCGCTTATAATCGCCCGATGTTTCCGACTGCAAAAAGATATTTAGAAATTAGTTAAAGTTATGAACTGTATGAATCGAACTATATATATATATATATATGGGCATATCCAGCCGAAATTTTATTTAAGTTTAAGTTGAAATTGTTTGGATTGCAAAAATTGCTTTGATTTTAATTAAAATAAAAATAATTGATTTTAATATATGATAAAAAGAGGCTTACATTATATATAGGCATATACATATATACTTGATCTGTATGAACTACCAGTCTATGAAATAAAAGTTGCAAGTCTTTGGTGTAGTCTATGGAATTGCCCTATATGTATATACAAATAGAGCTAATATCTAAAACAACTTTCTTGATTACTGATGATATTATAGTATGATAGTACAATATCTTATCCTATTATTTCCTAATAGCATAAGTCCAGCTGTAGTTCTTATTTATAGGCATAATCTCTCGAGCAAACTGAAAGAACTTATTTCTGATTAGCTCTGAGAAATCAGTTCTTAACACTACATAAAATCCATGAATTAGGCCAACTAATCCTTGTACCCGAAAAGCATATCAAGAAGTTAATAGCTATCAAACCAATTGCCCATATATCAATGGAACTACATACATAACTCTTAACCAAAACATAAAGCAATAGAAAATAATTTTGAAAATAAAAAAAAAAGTTAAAAATTCATATTTTCTTTAGCTGGAATTGCCCATATAAATAGTTCGCTAATTGGTAATACCAACAACCAAGCAGATTTAACTGAGATACATTATAGTATATGCAGATGCGAGGTTGGTCTGAAAAGTTGCCGAATTCGATAGTTTTTGCTTTAGAAATTTTGGCAGACCAGCTTCAAATGTATCATATACATATAGGTAGAGCTCTACCAGGCAACCAATACTTACATCCTAGCACCAAGGACAAGTACAAAAGGAACAACAACATGAACAATTAGGAAATGTGCAAGACGGGAATACGAAAAGCAAAAGTGAAAAATGCAATACATTAATAACTAGAATTTAGATATATATATATACATATATATATATATATACATATATAGTATATTTATGTGAATAAACCTACCTCAATGGCGCTGTATAGCGTGCGATTGTAGATGCGTTCGAACTCCTTCTTGATGGTGCCTAGATCGATCTCAGATCGACTGACAATGATGCGTATTAGAGTGTCATCATCGGTGCCAGCTCCATCCATGGCCTTGTACAAGCGATTGGCAAAGAAAGCTGCCGGGGATTGGACGCACTCCACTGCAAGATGATGAAGAGAGCGTTAAATCAATAGCCGAAATTTACAGAAAGAGAGAGGGAGACATGGAGACAGAGAGCGAGGGAGAGTTACACCAACCTATGGCCATCATAGCCTCATGCAACTCATCGGCCATCTCATGCTTGATGGCCTGCTCGATGGTCTGGCCGGTTAGCTCCTTGTATTCCTCGAAGACCAGACGCAGCTGGGGGAAGCTAGCATGGGACATGATGCGATTGAAGACCTCCTCGTCTGTGCCCAATTTGGCCTCGCCGGCAGCATATAGCTGTGAGGCCTGATCCTTGGCCAGCTCAGCGTTCACCGGCGTATTCACCGGGTCACGCACACCGGTCACAATCAGTGTGAGCAATCGTCGAAAGAATCCTGATGTCTCGCTGCACATTTGCTCGGCCAAGGGTCGACCCCATTTCTCCTCATAGGTGGTAACAATCTCTTGCATTTCCTCGTTCGTTTTGGTGCACAGAATCTCGACAAGGGTTGCCTCCTCGGTGCCAATGCCGGCCATTGCCGAGTGCAGCTGCTGGCATAGATACTCCACCGGCGGCATCATCAGTGCCACAATCACATTTTCAAATTTGCCGCCCAGCTCGCTCTTCAGATCGTCGACCAGATCTCTTTCAAATTCCGCCGCATAGGTGGCGCTAATCAGCTGGCGCTGTGCGTTGTTGCGTGTGGTCAGGATGTCGATGATTTGCTGCTCGTCTGTGCCCAGGCCACGCATAGCGCTGCGCAGCTCCTGGCTGTCACTCGCCGCATCGAACGGGCTGTGCGCCGTAACACAGGGCTCCGCCTACATGATGGATGAGTCAGCAGTTTGTTTTTAGACCCACCCAAAAAACAAAAAGGAAGAAAAACTATGAGAATCGATTCAAGTGCATACCATATTTACACTCACCTTGTAATCCATTTGCTATTTTATTTTCTTTTTCTTTTTTGTTGTGCTTGCAGGCCGTTAAGTGTTTGCTGTGACTGCAAATAAAATGTTTCGATAAATTTCAAGTTTATTAATTGATGCAATTAAAATGCTTTGCAGCCCATTTGCTATTATTGCAAATTGGACGCAAGCTCGTTGAGTCTTAGCGGCTGTTGTTGCTTTTCGTTAAGTTTTAACGGCTGTTGTTGTTGGTTTTCGTTAAGTCTTAGCAGTTTTTTTTGTTGCTATTCAAATGCAAGTATGACGTAGGCTCGTTAAGTCTTGGACGCAATTGTTGTTGCTGCTTTGCACTATTTTGTTAGGATATTGCATTTGTTTTTGTATTTTTTGTATTATTCTTTACTTTTGCTCTGCTGCCGCTGTCTTGCACCACTCGCTTGGTTTCACCGTTTGCTACTGACACGCAAACACAAAAGCGAAATTGTCTGCCCGTTCGTGGCGCGAAGCTTTTTTTTGTATGCTTTTTATAAGATAGAAAAGCTTTTAATTTCGCTTCAACTACGGCTTCGACATACAAATGGCAATGCATTTGGCTGGCTTATATAACACGCATTCCATTCGCATGATTCATGCAGATGATTAAGATATTGTATGTACATATGTGTGCATGAATAGATAGTATTTTTACTGTATGTATGTATATTCATTTTATCTTTATTTAATCTCGTTTAGTTTAGCTTTTCTCTTAATTTTTTTTCCTTTTTTGTTTATTATACAATTCAAATACAATTTTCCTCGTTTGTCTAATTCCCAACTTATTTGTTTCATAT